AATAACTTTTGACCTGGGCCAAATGTTTTCCTTTTACATTCAAAAGGAAGGTGGCTGACTATTCACATTATTTGAAGGAAATCAAATTGATGAGATAACCAATGTTTATTTTAGAATGGAGGATTTAATAAGGCTTGGTTTGTTGTTTTTCCCCCTTATGGCGGTTAGTCTTGAACTGTTCTAACGATGTAAGTGCTTTTGGTGACCAGGACTTATAGCATGTCTTCTGTGGAATGTCATAGCTGTAACTACTGCGTGGATTAAAGAGGGAGGTTTGTTTTTAAGTGGCTTTTTGTTTAGTCACTCTTCTTGATACATGTATTTTTAAGCTGACACGCTAATTCCATATCCTGTTCGTAGATGCAACGATTTGGTTTCTTGCTATTATCTACTTCATAGCAGGGGTTCCAGGAGCCTATGTATTGTGGTATCGTCCACTCTATCGTGCTTTTAGGTCAGTGGTTCTATCTTTGCAAGGCTGACTTTTACAATTTGTAATAGGCAGATTACGATTCTTTCAGACCATATGGTTGATAATAAGGATTTCAGTTTACAAATGCAATGTACTTGTAGCTATTTGGGGAAATCATAAAATGTATAATGCTTGCCAAGTGGGGGTTAGTTGATTTGTGTAAATGGAATTCTGTTTAATGCCAGAGAATGTTAGTCATTTGGCTTTAGAAGGTGATGAGTTTTTAATGCTAGTTGCCTATATTCTTTCAGTTGATATACAGCCATCTTTATTACAGGACTGAAAGTGCTATGAAGTATGGATGGTTTTTCCTGTTTTACTTGGTGAGGCTCCTATAATATTATTCTCTCTCTCTCTCTCTCCCTCCCTCCATCCAAAACTTGGATGAGGCCTCATTTTGTGCTCCTGTTACAGCTTCACATTGCCTTTGTTATATTTTCCGCGGTTGCTCCTCCTGTGGTGTTCAAAGGAAAATCTCTAGCGTAAGTTCTTTAATTTCTTCAAGCATAGTTTTACCGATTGGTTCCTGCCACCTAAGTGGACTTATCTTTACATGCGTGCTTGGTACAATGTAACAGTATAACGAACAAGATATTCACTTCATTTTCTTCTTTAATAGCTTCTAATGCTATTCAAAATTCACCCCATCAAACATGCCATATGGCCCATGCCTATATAATTTTATTTGTGTTGTAATGCCTAAAAGACTGCTTGTCGGAATATGTAATCCATGCTTTTGATCATACTTCCTCTGAAACTGGATATTTTACTCCGATATACCCACTAATTATGATCTTTACCTTTCACATCATTTTGGAATAGGGGTATACTTCCTGCTGTAGATCTCATAGGCAAGCAAGTACTAGTCGGGGTAAGTTCATTTCCCGTTGAACTATATTTATGGTGCATGTTTTATTTCCTTTAACTTTTACACCTATTTTCAGTTGGATAGAAGTGACTGATTCGCGTTATGCATTTTGCTGATCATTACTCAGATGTCTGCAAATAATTGTTAGCATAATTATGTTTTCCCCTTTGTGCAGGTTTTCTATTTCATTGGCTTCGGACTCTTCTGCCTTGAGTCGGTCCTCAGCATCTGGGTTATTCAGGTCCCAGATCAACTAGACTTGATCTTTCTTAATTTTTCATTTGGCGCACACAAGCAAGATTTGCATTTTGCTGACTGTGTTTTGCCATTATGCAGCAAGTATATATGTACTTCCGAGGCAGCGGCAAAGCTGCAGAGATGAAGCGTGAGGCTGCTAGGGGAGCCATGAGAGCGGCAATTTGATATCGTTTGTCAAAAACCTAATAATGAGCAACATATTGTGGATAGAAGTTACCATTCCGGGTGCCACTGATACTGAGTGGTGGAAGATAGAAAAACTGGTTGATTATATGCAAGGGACTTTTTCACATCTATTTAATTGCAATTAAATTGCTCTTATGAAACAAGCTTTTGAGTCTAGACAAAAAGTTGAAGCTGAAATCCCCAACCTTTCACACTAATGGGAATATTTGGTACAAAAAATTGAACAGTCCAAGACTGGACAAGACTATTATCACGCTTGCCTCGTTTATAATATAATAACTAGTTCAATTGCAGAAGCCTTGTTTTCAATGAATTTGGAGACTTTACATGAACGGATGGTTCATTCTTAGAGCTTCAAAAGAATGAAAACAATATACAAAACAAATAAGAAGTCTTTGTTTGTGTTCCATTAAATTCATTTTTCTTCGAACTTATTTTTAATTATACATTTTTTCAATAAAATAATTTTACACGTAAAAATTAATTTTTCCACTTTCTAATTACACATTTTCAAAGAACAAATTTTGGTTCTAGATCTAGAACCGAAGAATCGAATTTAAATATTTTTTTAAATTTTTATATTGAATTAATTAAATTGTTTTATTTTTTTCATAACAAATTAGCAAATGAACTAATTTAATGATTAATACTCTAACTTCCAAGTCAAGTTCATATTTAGCTAGTCCAATTCAACCAAATTTCTAAATTTAGTTTTTGATTTAATTTTTTTTGCCAAATTATTAAGGGAAGAGTTCACAAATCAGGCATTAAGTTTCACAAATGCAAAAATCAGGTATTAAATTTAAAAAATGCAAAACTCAAGTATTTAGTTAATTAATTAAAAAAATTATTATTTAAATATAATAAATTCACAATTACACAGTTAACGATCACATGTACATAATTATAAGTTACAATTTATTTATTGATTACATATTATTAAATTAATTGGTTACAAATTATTTCGAGGTTACAAATAAAATTTTTTATACGTCACAATTTATTTCATTTGTTACATATCAAAAAAATTATAGGTCACAGTTTATCTATCGATCACATATTTTCAAATTTGTTGATCACAAATTATTTTGCAGTCATAAGTTATCAAATTTTAAGGTTATGGTTTAATATTTGGTCACATATAATCAAATAATTGCTCACATGACTGCTACCGTCGCTAGGACCACACCACCACCACCTCCACCTCCACCTCCACCTCCAATCAACGGTATCAACCAGCGAGCCACCGTCGCTTGCTAAAATCCACCATCTCTTCCAACACTACAACCACCACCATACCAACAAAAACATCAAGTCCGCAACCAACATCACCACCACCTCTTCTTGTGACCACAACCACCAGTTCTACCAAACAATCTCCAAATTGTCACCACCACCAAACTGGAAGATACCACCACCAAACTGGATGATACCACCGCCCACATCAACGATTCACCACAACCTCCTCAGATCGAAAAGATAAAGAACAAAACCACAGTTGGCACCGAAGGACTGCAACATCGCGAAGCTGTGTTCGCAGCAGTGTCACGACGCTGCGTTGAAGGACTGCTAAAATCATTTGTTGCCTGAGTTAGTGAATGTTGCCGATTGGGAGATTGAAGAACCCAAATGGAAATCGAAGAACGATGGAGCCAACGAGTGAGATTGCTTCAGAGGAGTAGAGAGAGAAAATATAGACAAAATCGTCGTCAATGAGGTTGCTTCAGAGCGGCGTCGTCGTTATGAACGCTGTCGACATGGTGACGGAACCGGTGGTGTCCGTGATAGAGAGACGAGAGAATATAGAGAGAGAAGAGGGAGATGAAAAATGATAGGGTTTGTATTATATTGGTACCTGATTTGTGAATAATGAAACCTCAACCTTGAATTTTGAATTGTTATCTTCAAATGCCGGGAATTATGTAATTTTTTTTGAGTTTTTATCATTCTCTTTCCAATTTCACGCTTTCATTTGGTAACCACTAAGTTACTGATCCCAAATCATTTGATAAATTAAAAACCTACATCTACATACCCACATCGAAGTCGTCGACTGTCGAGTCTGACTTCCCGTCTCCAACTGTCCATCGAAGTCTCGACCTCTGACCACGACCACCAATCGTTGACCATTAGAAATCTGTTAAAAAAATTAATTATGGTACATAATCGAACTGAATTGAACCGAATTCAAATGGTTCCATAATTATATTTGGACCCTACATTTCCATTTATTAAATATTCGAAAATTTTGGTTCAGTTCGGTTCCGAAGAGAACCGAACCAAACCATGTTCAGCCCTAATTAATTTTACACGTGGACCCCATAATTTTTTTCTACTTTTTAATTACACAATTTCAATAAAATCATTTTTAGACCTCAAATAATCCCTCCCAAACAAACTAAATTGCAATTGCATCACTTTCCCATAATGTGATTATAGGTGCTCAACCTTCAAAAGTGTGGCTATGAATCCCAAACCTATTTAAATCTATGAATCAAGGTCCCAACCTACTGAATTGTCAATATAAATGATAATTGTGACTTAAAGTTGGAGGGGACAAAACCTTTATACCACTTAACATTTTTCTCCAATTTAACTAAAAACTACGAGGGATTTCACTACTTTTTGGCATATAACAAAAGTTGCTTAAAAAGACGCTTTGATCAATGCTTAAACTTGGGCCTTTTTGACCTAACTTCTGCTTCTACTTTTTATAGAAGAATTATTTGAACAAGTTACGTTGAAGTAGTGTTGAACAGGCTTCTTTCGTAAGTTCTTTCCAACTAAACAAAATACTTTCAAAAAATTATCTAAGCATGTTCAAAAATAACTTTTTAATCTCAGAATCAAACGTCCTACTTAAACGTCTTTATTAATTTATTCTTAATCACTAACGTTCTGGGACATGATGAAAAATGATAAATAGGCGTAACAGGATTGGAAATTACATGGTGCCATATTATTACTTACCCTCAACATAGCTGCTGCTCAATAAAGTTCACATATAGCTAATCAAGCAACAAAATTACAGTGGCATCACATAATAGTTTGATAATATATATATATATATATCTCAAGAACCATTACCAGCTGGATAGTATGGCTAGCTCATTTCAACAATAAGCAGTGCATTTCTTCTTGCAATCAATGGTGCACCCACCGCCGCCACCGCCGCCGCCGTATCCCTTGCCGGATCGGTGGTATGAGCTGAAACACTTAGCCGGACATGCTAGTTTCTTCTTGTATCTTTTCTTTGCACACTACAGAGGACCTTATGATGCCACCTTTAGAGTACCCACCATTCGGACCCCCATATCCGGCTCCATAGCCGCCACCAATTCCATTTCCCCACCCACTTCCAAACCCGGGTATATTGAACCCCCCTCCGGGTCCGAAGAATTCACCCATCCCACCATCTTTTCCACTACCTTTCTTGTTACTGTTGGATTTTGGTTTGGATGATCCAGGGCCAGTGTGTTCGGGTTGGGTTGCAAAGGAAAGAGTAGGAGAGATGATCAAGAAAGCTAAAAGGAAAGTGATTATAGATTTCATGTCGAAAGAGAATCATATAAGAGTAAGATGAAATATTTAAGTAGACATAATGGGAAAAGGAGGTGTAAAAGGCCTTTAAGCGATGCAGAGAGAAAAGGAAAGTGGATGGCAGTTGGGGGGCTTGCAATGCATTCATTGCACATATACAAAGTCTTCAATGGACACTCCACTCAACTCGACTCGACTCGACTCGATTCCACTCGACTCGATATTTAAATGTAATGCTATCTCTATTTTAGATAGTCAATTCTTAAATTAAGCTTCAATAAACTCTTAGTGTGTTTAATTAACTTTATTTTTCATAGAAAATGTTATTTTTCCATTCAAATTCCTATTTTTGTGATGTTTGATGAACATTTTTTTTACATAAAAAATAGTTTTCAATTTTTGGTCACGTGATTATATTTTTCTCAAAAATAAAGAAAACATTTTCTTCGAGGAGGAGTGATTTTTATTTTTTAGGTAATTCACTCTCTATTTCTCTCTCTCATCTATCGCTTCTCTCTTATCTACCCACCAATAAAAAATGGATAAATATAATATTTTTTAGGTTGAAAACTAAATTAATCAAACACATTTAATTAATAATTTACATACAAATAAATTCTATATAATTGAATTGCCTGCAATTTATTTATTTTTTAATACAAATTTTATGCTCGTAATCAAACAACCTTTAAGTCTTACCAATTGATTGCGGATAGATACCATTGAGAAATATAAAATTATTTATATGTTGAATTTAACATACTAAATATTTTAATTGTTAAATTATTTTATCCCCTTTAAGGCTAATGGGACCGCAAGCAGATCTTTTTATCTTAGACTTAGGGTATAAAAAGTGATAGACCACTCTATTTTATGATAATGCACAAGTTGGTGTATTTATGATTTGTTGAGTGTATTAAATTAGATCATATTGAATAAGGTACGTGTTATGGCGTATTAAAGATACCTTTAGTGAAATCTCGAGTATTATATTTATCTATATAATTGTTAAATTATCAGGTGAAACGCGTGTTAGTGATTATGCAGGTTGAATAATTCATCTAAGCAACTATCCACTTTCCCTAATTTGAGGACAACTTGCAGTTATTCCAATCGAACCACCATCTATAACTCGAATTGATTAATAGTAGGGACGAATTCAGGACCGGACTACAAGCCTAACTAATACATAGAAAAAAATTAATTTACACAAAAAGGGGGGGTGGGGGACTGGACCGGGCTACAACCCGGCCCAGCCCCCCTAAATCCGTCTCTGATTAATAGAAATACTATACCTTCGTCGAATATATAAAGAGCCATTGAAGTAGTGAAATTTTCCTTCTAGAAAAAAGCGATAATAAATATGGTTCCTGGTAGGAATTAGAATCTAAATTTTAATTTAAATTACATTCAATAATTAATTTTAATTTTATATTTTATGAGACTCATAACTTTTCAATCACGTATTAAAATTTTAATTTCATTCCACATCAAACAGAGGTATCATAGTTTTTTGTTTTTAATTGAAAAATTTGCACTTTTCACCCTTGATCTTTGAAAAGTGTGATAAATCTACCATCAACTTTTTTTTTAGCATAATCCACTTCCAAACTTTCAATTATGTAATAGAACTCGTATTTTTTTTTTTTTTTTCCATTTTTGATCATTAAATGATGGATACGCTCTTCTGTATAAGTAAACTAAAATAAAAGAAAGCAGTAAAAAGATAAACATTTCATCTTTCAAGCCAAGCTCACCCCACCCCACTCAATCCAACCCTACTTGTGGCCAAAGACCACCTTTATAGAAGCAATCACGCCATCATTCAACGTACCAAATATTCCCTGGTAATTTTCTCCTTTTTCATAAATTTAATTTCTATTAATTAAAGTATTTTCATTACAATATTAACTCGACAATTTAATTTAATTTTTATCACAGAACTATATATCTATATTACTAATATTTATATTTATCTTCTATTCTTAAACTTTCTCTTAAAAAGAAAAAAGAACATCAAAAAAATATAATGCAAGAATTCTTGAAATTTTGTTAAATCGTAAAATAGCATAAAATTATAACCTGAACTTAAAATAAACAATAAATTCCTATTAAGATACAAAATAATAATAATATCATAAACATTTTACTTGGTTTTTCTGAAAAAAATAAAAAATAAAAAATCATTGAACGCGACTTATTTATTAAAATGATGACAAGTAATAATTTCTATTTGTCCATTTAGTAACGCTGGAAAAAAATTAAATGAAGTTTATACTATTTTTTTGAACACAATATGATTTTATTAAAATTTACTTTCGATAATTTCAAGTTCTAGTTTAAACTTTAAAGAAAATGAAGATGATAAATTTTCTAAGCTTCACAGTACAAGTACCAACTTTTAAATATATTTTTTAATAAAACATTCATAAGCTTCTAAATATTTAAACAATAATAAAGTGTAAAGTGTTGAATAAAAGATGTAATTTATTCTCTTTTATTAAGGATATTTTGGCCTGTAGAGCTTTTTGTAAAAATATATTTTTTTTGTTACCAATAAACAAAATACAATATGGTAACTTTACGTTCGCCAAATATGGTACGTAAATTGTAAATTCACCCTAAATGCAAGGTGTTTTGTAAATAAAATATTGAATCAGTCAGTAGAACCATGTTCAGTAAGAAATCTTCATAACATTCATTACAATCATATTTCATCAGACGAAAATAACTAGAAACTCATCTAAACTGGCTGTGCCAAATTACCCCGGTTATCTCTCACGATCTTTTCGTCGCCGTCAAAAATCCCAAAAAGGCGAACACCCTAATGCTACTGAACCTCATCCGGAACAAGAGAAGCAGAATTTGCCCCTGATGGCACTGATCTAAGAATACGGTAAGCTATGGGTGGGAAATTCTTACAAAGACATACTGATGGAACAGTCATATAATGATTTCCCTAACTACGCAGAACTGCTAGGTATATCATCAGCAGAAGTGGATTCACGAGGCGGACTGGATTCAACAGCAGGTGGGGCTGATGGTTTCTCTACGGTGTGAGGATTTGATGGTCTCTTTGAATGCACTTGATTAACTTTCTCTGATGGAAGATCAAACTGCAAATGAAACAAGATGTAATAATGGAATATTCGTAATATACATCCCTAAAATTAGCCTTTTTTGCTTTCACTTGTGCAATGAAGCAATTCCCACAATCTCCACAGTGCTGAGGCAGGATATTATAATTTATTGATACGAAAAATGCCCATTATATGTTAAACAACAGCATTTCAATAATAAAAATTCACAAGGTAATCATACAACCCAAACTCTCAACTGAAAATGGTGTCAAAGCATTTCAATGCAACTTCTGAGATGCCAAGTGGAGTCCATAATTTGGAAAAACTCAGAAATTTCCAAGAATTTTTCCTTTAAGCAATATCAAAATAAGGGCATTCAAACAACCATCAAACTCGAGTATACCACAATACCAGAGACGATGAGATACAAAATGCAAAAAAGCACAAAATCATGCACTTGCAGAAGTATCACATTGCAGATTGCAAATTCCAAAGAAGTACTTGCAGAAGTTATTCTCTCACAAGTTGCAAGGAAAATCAAGCACAAAATGCAAATATATAGACATTCTACTACTAAGTCAATAGAAGAACCCTTGGTTTCTTTTTTTTTTCTTTTTCTTTTTAAATTCTATTCACGTGTTACTTGTTCAACAAGACGACGACAACGACAACAACAACATACTAAGCCTTATTGCAATATTTGGAATTAGCTACATGAATCCTATCTCGCCAATATGTTCAGTCTATCACCACATTTATTGAAAGATTCAATGCAATTAGATCCTTTGTAACTAGATTTTATCTTTAACAATACCATAAAACACAGAGGGTCTCATAAGCTTTCTTTTTAACTAGCCTTTGAACAGTTTTCATCTCCAATAAGAATTTTAGCATGACAATTAGAAAATAAAACCCAAAGCTCAACAGAAAGACATTAACTGACCTTGTAACCACAGCCAGCTACACAAGCACGGAAGCATTCCTGTAAGAGAAATGAGCAAATTGATACAAGAAATCATATATTCTAATAAAACAGTAGAAGTATGCATTGCTTGTATATCATGCATGGCACTAGAATACCAAACAGATAATGCCCACCACCGGTCCACCACAGAACAAATCTGTTCCACAATTACACAATGAAACTTGCAATCTAAAATGATAAAAGTGATACTGTCACCCGCCTGACCCTCATGTCAGCCACAATTTTACATTTTACTTCAACACAAATAAAGTTGAGCATACCTTTTGTGCTTGAAACTCTTCATGTCTCTAACTACTTTTAACCTGTCATTATTGGGGATGAACAACTCTTAAACACTATTATTTAGAGTGTGTTCGGGAGGGCTTTTCCAAAGCCTAAAAGCACTTCCTAGACGTCAAAAGCTCTTTTGTTTAAAAATATTGACTGTTTGGCTAAAGTCAAAAAGTACTTTTTGACCAATAGCTTAAAGAAGCTGTATTGGAGAAAGCTCCTCTCAAAAACTCATAATGAGCTTTTACGGGAAGCTGTAATTTACATTTAATAAAGCCATTTAATGAAGCTTTAAAATTAACAAAATACACATTAAGATCTCAAAAAAGTTTATAACTTCTAACCCAATTAAATAGATATGAAGTTTATACAAAAACACTTTTATAGTTTTTTTTGAAAGGTAAAAACACTTTTATAGTTATGTTGCCAAACAATCAATTTAATAATTATAGCACCTTTTGTATTCACAACCAAACAATCAATAACCTTTTAATATATGCTTTACTATCAAAAGTTCGATTGCTAAAAGCTCTACTCACAACAGTTGTGCCAAACGAACCCTTAGTCTATATGGATAACAGGATAAGTTACACTGAGCCCTTAAGGGCAATATAATAAAATCAAATGGAAGATAGCCGTCCCTCCATTAGACTTAATTGAATTTTGAAGACTTTTCGACCGCCAAAATTCTCCACTCCCAGCCTTGTTCAAGGTAAAAACTTGACTTTTGATTGATACAAAAAGATGTCTAAGAAATATTATATCAGTCGATGGTATAAGGCTAACTGAGTATTTATACAACTGGAGGGGTTTAATAAAAGTGGTACAAGACCGAAAACCCAGACAAGCCGATTTAGAATGATGATGGTGGGTTCACAATTCGCACAAGCACACCAAGAACCTATCCAAAGCATACCCAATCTATTTCATTTGTGGCCACAACAAATGACTAAAATCAATATATAATTCCACTTAAAATTTGCAATACTCGAGTACTACTTTCAGACATTATTGATTCTTTTTAAGAGTGGATGTATCAAAACTTATGGATTTAGTGGAAACCTGAAATCCACACACCACTTCAAATATCTCATAGACATTTGCATTTAAGATAGAAGCATATAATCAATAAATTGTTAGCAACCATCCGTTCACATAACCAGCCATTTCAGAAATGATATGAGCAAGCAAGTACAACATGAAAGAATTACAGACTAAAAGAAAGGAAAAAGAAACCTCCGAGTAGCTGACAGCACCAGGAGAACGGTCGATATAAGCACTCCATTGTCGGTCCTTTAAAACTGGGTCTTTATAGCATATCTCATCACACTCCCCTAAACCTGAATACCAAATACCAAATGTACATTTTATCGATTTCTTGGACTCTGATAAATGAATTTTTAAGTCCAGTAGACAGTCATCAATAAGATACATCTGTGACTACTGTCAGAACAACAACATTGGATATAGAAAATTAATACTTACAGTCTTCCCATGTGTCACCATCAGAGTCACACCCCTTTTTGCAAAATACTCTCCCTAGGAAAACCCAGGGAATGATTAGACAGATCTGACGAATTAAGAACATGTGCATTTGAAAAAAAAATGCATACAGATCATGAAAACAGAAAAGAAATAGCCATAAGCCATTGAAATAGGTCCAGATGACATACTATATCGAGCAAACAGTTTGTGTCTGGAATGTGGATAAGATATGTGGCCAAAATTTTCTTGTTGATTATCGTATCTCGATCACAGAATTGCAAACATGTTTCCTTCTACTATTTTAAGAGAAACTCAAATAGAGACTTCTTTCCTTATATACAATTCTTGCTTATGTAATTCAACTCAAACATCATGTGACCTAATAATCAAACATCACATGCTGTTCACACGGCCCTTTATAGGATGGTAACAAAATTCAATATCAGTACTACGTTGATAAAGAACCATAGTATTTACTCAATGTAAATACACAATTATAACATTCAGGAGATGCTTAGTGATATTTTGACATAAATAGAGCAAGATACTGTACCCTTCCCACAGTAAGGACAAACATTAGATTTATCTTTGATTGATTCCCTATCCATACATCTAAGTCATATCAACAACTACATCCAGGGAAAGAAATTATAAGACAAGCTCACAGAGGATAACATTTGTTTCCAATGATCAGCCTGATCTAATTTCTTCACAAAAGCAAAAACGCCTTACCAAAAATTGGAGCAACCACTTCTATTTTCTCTCAGAAACGCCCAGATTCAACAATTCACAACGTATTAACTAGACTTTCTATACAAACTCCATGTAATTTGTAAATCTAAACAAATAGCTCGTCGTTAATGCAAATAATTAGACTCAAACTTCATGCATATGAAACACATAATTAATCGATTCATATAAACATAAATACGTAAGCCACGAATAACAATAACGTAAGGTAATTAGGATAAAGGGCGAAAAGAAAATTACAGGGAATTTGAACGAGGGCAGCGTATTTGTGAGTGCATTCATTGTTACAGGGCGGTGTCCATTGCTTCGGAATCATTTCGTTTCCTCTTCCTCTTCAATTTCTGTCGGAATTCTTTTACATTTCTGTGTGTGGAAACTTGCAAAATGACCAATATCTTGGGGACAGACAGGGGAGAGATTCAAGGGGCAAGGGTAGCTTTGTCATTACAGGCGTGCCTAGTTATGCCCGGGCCCATTTTGGTGGGCCCTTGGATTGATAATGGGGATTGGGCTTGCATAGATAGATGTGTCAAGTTTTTGGGGGCACATGGCTTGCCCATCGTGCTAAAAACCTCCTATGGTCCTGAGGGAAAATGCAAAAAAATTTAAAAATAAAAAAATAAAAGTAAAATTGAAATTTATAAGAGGATTTTGGGGTGAACATTTTTAATCGAGAGGACTAAGAGCACTCGGGATAGGTCGACGAACAATAAGTAAACAACTTGTTGGCAAATGTTTCTTGATAAATTTGCTTTTAGTTTCAATATTGCGCTCTTGTAAATCTCGTAAGGAGTCGGGATGTTTGGGAGTTTTTTTATTTTTATTTCCAACAATTTTGAGAGGCATCATGAAGGGTTACCAAAATCGATGCTCCATAGATTTTTTTTTATTTTTTTTAATTTTTTTGACAAGAAGTCGCGTTTTCTGTATTCCACTAGCCTGCAAACGATTGCAGTGGAAAAAACTGCCAACTGAAATTCACTCTCTTTCGATGAAACTCTGCCACAGCCTCATCACCTTTAGTTTATCTCCGCCGCATCGTAGTCTTTCTCGCCATCCCAAATCCCTCTCTTCCGAGTTACTATCTCACCGGGTCAACCTCGCCGAATCACTCCAATCCGAAACCCTCAAAATCCTCGAATGGCCTTCCTTGTGTACCCAGCTCGCCGCATTTACCTCAACCTCCATGGGCCTCGCCGCGGCCCGAACAGCCCGAATTCCTCTGGGGAAATGCTCAGACGAGAGCAGGCGTCTCCTCGCTCAGACCTCTGCCGCTGTAGATATCTTTCAGCCGTTGGATTTCTCAGGAATCGAGGATGTTTCGGCTATTGTTGATACCTCGGTCGCTGGTGAAATGCTGTCGATCCGCGAGCTTTGCTCGGTGCAACGGACGCTAAGAGCAGTCAGAGCTTTGCTCGAACAATTGGAGGATATTTCAGCGAAGAATGATTTATCCAAAAGGTATTTATTACTTCATAAACTTCTTTTATCTCTTCATGCAGCATCATATGGAAATAAAAAGTAATCTTTACTTATTTTTAAGCTTATCTCTAATTGGTCTTGGAATTTGAATTCAACTATATAAATTCAAATCTCATTAGAGTTGTTTTGATATGCATACAAACATGAAAATCTATTAAAGCTACCTGCTAAAATTCAGTGAAGTGATTATGATTTGCTATATGAAAAAAGATAAAAGGAAGAAAGAACAGCTAATGTGGTGAACATCAAGGACTGTTCAATTTGGATATACATGGAAATCAGTATTCATGATTTTAAAATACATATATCTACAAGTTTCTGAAAATAGTTTTGATTTGCAAAAAACGCTTCTCTCATGACCACTAAAAATTGTTTCTTAGATCCGACGCTTTAATTCTTGACTGAGCTTGGAATCTATAGCTTAAGTCTAAATAACCATACTTATTTTTATGCAGTTAGCTCAGTTGTGGGAGAAAGTTGAATTTAGGGTATATAATGTATAAACGGAGATAGATAATTTTTCATTTGAGGCGTCTTTTTGATGTATATCATTCTTACCCTATAAGACAATACAAGAGTGTATTTACACGATATACAGAATGTTATAGATATAAAGGCATTTGCTAGGCAAATGCCAAAAGGAATATTCTTAGCCACTATTTTTAATTTCTACAATATTCTCAATAGGAGAGCATACATCATATGAAACTGATGGATTCCTTCGAACAAATTGATAAAAAAAAAAAAGAAAGAAAAAGATGGAGTACACATTCTAGTTTCCCTTATATTTCACTTACCTGACATAGAAGCTGCTGCATGAATCCACAAATTTAAGGAGCAACAAGCAGCTTCATTGGGTTATGTGTATGTTTTCCATTCAAACAGGTGCTCTCCTCTGCTTAAAATTCTTCAGAATTGCAATTTTTTGACGGAGTTGGAGCGAAAGATAGGATTCTGTATAGATTGCAACTTTTCAGTGATCCTCGACAGAGCCAGTGAGGAATTGGAAATCATAAGGTTAGAAAGAAAAGGGAACATGGAAAATCTCGAATCAATGCTGAAGCAGGTTTCTGCTCGAATTTTTCAGGCTGGTGGAATTGACCGACCGCTAGTAACCAAGCGTAGATCAAGGATGTGTGTTGCTATTAGAGCTAACCATAGATCTTTGTTGCCTGGTGGAGTAGTTCTAGATACTAGCAGCTCTGGGGCAACTTACTTTATGGAACCTAGAGAGGCAATTGAGTTGAACAATCAGGAAGTGAGGCTTATGAATTCCGAAAGGATAGAGGAGCAAGCTATATTGAGTTTACTTACTGCTGAAACTGCCCAGTCTGAGAGACAAATTAAATATTTGTTGGATAGAGTATTGGAAGTAGATCTTGCTTTTGCGAGAGCTGCTCATGCTCGGTGGATGAATGGGGTATGTCCGAATTTTATTGCAGAGGGTTATGAGAATTTTGAAAATAACGCATTATCCGTAGACATTGATGGAATAAAACATCCTTTGCTGCTAGAGTCTTCGCTGAGGAAACTTTCTGATCTTAACAAATCCAGTAGCTCACTGTCTTCGGATCAGGATGGCATCACAAACTCTAGAATAGTTTCTGGTGCATTTAGTTTTCCAGTGCCTGTTGACATCAAAATTGGACACGGAGTAAAAGTGGTTGTGATTTCCGGACCTAATACAGGAGGCAAAACTGCTTCAATGAAAACTCTTGGATTGGCTTCATTAATGTCGAAAGCCGGCATGTATCTTCCTGCTGAAAACAATCCACGATTCCCATGGTTTGATCTTGTTCTTGCAGATATAGGTGATCATCAGGTAATTGATTCTCTCTCTCTATTTGTTAGTTTAATTACACTTTTATTTTCTTTTTCCTTGTCACAAAATAAATTATTTTGTTGATGTCAAACTTATAATCAATTGAAGTCTTTAGAACAAAGTCTCTCAACCTTCAGTGGGCATATATCAAGGATTAATAAAATCTTGGATGTGGCTTCTGAGAAATCTCTTGTCCTTCTCGATGAAATTGGAAGTGGGACTGATCCTTCAGAAGGCGTGGCTCTTTCAGCCAGCATATTGCAATATCTCAAGGATAGAGTCAAGTTAGCTGTCGTAACAACCCATTATGCAGATTTAACTTGTCTGAAAGAAAAGGATGCTCGGTTTGAGAATGCAGCCATGGAATTTTCCTTGGAGAGTCTGCAGCCTACCTATAGGGTTCTCTGGGGAAGCATGGGTGAATCAAATGCCTTAAGTGTTGCTGAATCAATTGGTTTTGACAGAAAAATAATTGAACGGGCAAAATCTTGGGTGAAGAAGTTAACACCTGAAAAGATGCAGAAGTTTAATAGTATGCTATATCAGTCACTAGTGGAAGAGAGAAACAGATTAGAAACTCAAGAAAAAAGAGCTGCGTCCCTTCATTCGGACGCAATGAAAATTTATCATGAGGTATGTTCATAAACTTCAATCAAAGATTACATTTTCATTTTTTGTTTTCTGATAAAGTATAGCTCCTGTTTAACACCCATTTTATTTGAAAAATAATTTTATTTAGAAGATGATTGTCCTTTTATCACATGAGGAACCTTGCAAATTAAGCCCCTGTTTGACACCCATTTTGTTTGAAAAATAATTTTTGGAATAGTGATTGATGGAAGATTGTGTGGTTAAAAAGTAAGAAGAATTTTTGGGTTTATGTGTAATATTATTTTATTAATAGAATGTGTGGTTGAAACGAAGAATGAGAAATAGAATGTGAAATAAAATGAGAAAAAAATGAGTGTCAAACAGGGGCATAGTTCTACATACCGATAAATTCTACTAGCCCCCAAAGCAGTTGGGCCAAATGTGCTGTTTCATTCTGAGTATGCTCATTAGTTAAATTCTTTTTCAGTTTCAGTCAGCCTGTTAAGTTGTCGTGCTCTTCTTAAGAATTCTGCCTGCATTTATTATAGCCAAGAATCTATGATCTCACCATTTTCCTCCTCCTCTTCACATTCTTTCCATCTTTTATCCCTCTATGAAAGATCTGCAATGAGGCAGAAGATCTTGATGGACGTGAAGCAGCTCTCAAGGCAAAGGAAACCCAGCAGATTCAACAGGAGCTGGAAGTTGTGAAAACTGAGATTGATGCTATAGTCGAAGAATTTGGGAACCGACTAAGAACTACAAGTCGAGATCAATTCAATTCTCTTTTGAGGGAATCGGAGTCTACCATTACGTCCATTGTTGAAGCACTTCGGCCTAGCAATGATGTTGAAGTTGAAGGCAGTTTTCATACACCACAGCTTGGAGAGCAGGTTCTTATAAAGGGTTTAGGAAGTAAATTGGCTACTGTAGTTGAAACACCAGCAGATGACAATACAGTCCTTGTCCAGTATGGAAAAATCAGAGTCCGTGCGAACACAAGCAGTATAAAAGCTCCTGCTGATGGTAAAGATACAATGTCTTTGGTCCCACTCTCAAGAAAGAAGGCAAGTGAGCTCCCTAGAATTTAGTTAGCCATTTATCATTCAATGCTAAAAAATTAACAATATTAGACTATCTCAAGGAAATTGTGTTAATATGTAGAGTCTATTAAATCTCAGGGGATATGGCACATATGTTTAATAAATCCTGGACTAATCTACAAGTTTCTGAAAACACGAGTAATATGCATTTCCCTTATTGACTTACAACTGCATAGAAACCAATGATGGTTATTTTATGATTGCTATTGTAGGGTCGGCGAACTAAGAATCTGAAGAATTTAAGGAGTCTTTCAGAAACTAGAAAAGATGAAGAGGTTCCTTTTGGCCCGGCTGTGCAGACATCGAAGAACACGGTTG